TAAGGTTTGATCTTGCACTTCAGCTCAAGGACCTCAAAGCAGCTTATGAGCTGGCACATACAGCACAAGTTAGTTAGAAGACATAATCTTTCTCTCTCTTTTCTGTGTGTGCTGTTTCTGCCTATTCCTTCCATTTCATATTACCCTTGCTCCTCCTCTTCCTTCCCCAGGCTGATGAGAAGTGGAAGTCATTAGGAGAGCTAGCAATGACACAGTGTCAGTTTGGTTTAGCCCTAGAGTGCCTCCATCACGCTAAGGACTACAGTGGTCTCCTACTACTAGCTACTAGTGCTGGAGATGCTGGTACCCTAGCTAAACTAGCTGAAACTACATCTGAAGCTGGAAAGAATAACATAGCTTTTACTGCTAACTTCTTACTAGGAAGGTTTGTAACTTTGTACATCTACATCCCTTTTCCTTTCATTCTTAACTCCTGTTTCTATTAATAGATTGGAGGTGTGTCTCGATATTCTCATTTCAACTGGTCGATTAGCTGAAGCTGCTCTCTTTGCTAGAACATACCTACCAAGTCAGATATCAAGGTAAGGCAATGAGTATGATCTACATTTTTAGTATTTTTACCCTCTTTTGTCTTTCTTTTAGGACAGTCAAATTATGGAAAGAGAACTTATCTAAAGCCAACACGAAAGCTGCTCAAAGTTTAGCCGACCCAACAGAATATGAGAACCTTTTCCCCGAGCTCCAGTCTGCCCTCAAAGCCGAAGACTTCATCAAAGAAGAGAGAGAGAACCTTCCGCCGGCTTCAGAGTACCTCAAAGCAACAGTGAGTCATATGACATCATATTGCATCACATGGCATCATTTTACATCATATATTTTATCTACAGCCGGTCGGTGATCGTAATGTTATTGAGGAGATGTTATCTGGTCCTGTCCGTGCTCCTGTTAATAATGGTGATGGCGATGTGAGTGGGTGTGGTTTTGGGTGTGGCTAATCTTGTGCTTTTGTTTTTTCCTAGGAAATAAATTTAGATTTAAGCGACGAAGATCTGCAAGATGTTGACACAGAAGTAAGCTAACCTACTCCTTGATCAAAATTTTAACACTTAACTCTTTTTTTTTCTTGTTTTCTCTCCGTTGTTAGGGTATCAATCTTGATGATGAAGAGGATTTGCTAGGAGACTAACTTTAAACTGTTTATTTAATTATAATAATAAAAGAAATAATAATAATTGTGTTATTATTATTGTTATTGTTATTATAGGTGAACGAGGATTTTAAGTGTTTATTATTATTATTTCCTTTTCTGCTTTTCTTTCTCTTTTTTATTCATTTTCATTTGCTTGCTTGCCTCTCACACCTTTTTCCAAAACTAAAGCCATTAGTTGTTAATTAACCATTTATTTATTTATAACTGGACTGAGCATGCTCAGAACTTTATGGCTCCAAAGAGAATCTTTCAGAACACGTGTTAGAAGATGTCTGATAGTGGTTCTTTGTTACAATGCTTTTGGGACCTTTCCTCTTTAGAAGAGGCGGCTAGACTCTCAGCTGCTCAGAAAATTATATCAATTCTCGAGGAATCTCGAGTAAAAAATATATTTTAAAATTTATTTGTATCTTAATTGATATAATTATTAGGAGACTGACTCGTTTCAACAAGAGATCAGTTATTGTCTCACTCGTTTGGTCTCTGGTCTAGCTTCAAACAGGAAAGGTGCTCGTCATGGGTACTTCACAGTGCTATGTGAGGTGGGTGTGGTTTTGTTGCCATGGTAACTTGATTTTTCCT